ATATATATATATATATATATATATATATATATATATATATACACACACACACACACACACACACACACACACAGGTAAATTTGCCAAACTCTAATTCTCTCTCCAAATCTGCTGAAAGTATGTCCATGCTGCAATCGAGCCATGTTTAAAAGTAGTATTATTGTTGCATTATTGCATTATTGCTCCATTATTGTTCCATTTTGAATTTGTCACTAATCATGAAAGAGGGTGATTTTGAAGTGAAGCAATTTGAAAGGGGTACAGAAAAAGTAGAATTCCGGCTGGAATTGGGGAGGGAGAATTGATCTCTGTCTCTTTTATTTTTTAAAAAACAGGATATTCTTGGAGTGACATGAGGGCTTACCACCTCCATCTGCTTTATCATTCAGAATGGTCTCCTACCATGCAACTCTCAGGTGTCTGAGCAACAATGGATGGTCTCAGTCATTGTAAGAAGACAGAAGAAATCTTCTATCTTTTGCAGGGAGTAATGACTCCCACAAACACTTTAATTCAATCTGGCTTTATTAAAGGTACAGAGCCAAGTCTGATTAAAAAGTTGGCAATCTCAAGGCAGTAAATGGAGCAGGCTTTCAGCAACATGTAACCAAAAGAGTATGGCCAAGTGATCTTTAATGAGCGTGGGTAGATGCTATTGTTTTCTCCATAAAAGGCTGTCAGAGAACAATTTTCTGCATGGAAGAGTTTCAAGGCCAAAGCCAGCTTGAGCATAAAGATCAATTAGGAGAGGTATCAAGAGCTTTAAGGTCACCCATCCATACTGGTCTTGGTCTTTCCCACAATGACCGGATATATTACATTTCTTTTAAAATCTTACATTTTAAAGCATAGTAATTACTTCTAAGTGTGCATCTATACATGTTTATTGTTTAATGCACATATTATGAACATTTTGTCTTTGGTGATGAACTAGCTAATCTTATCTAAAAAAGCTAAGCAGAGTTGGACCAGGTTAGTATTTTTGTGGGAGATCACTAGGAAGCCCCAGGGCCACAGGCCAGACTAGGAAGTCAAGAAAACATTCTGGAAGAAGACAAACCACTTTTGAATTGTTGTCAAGAAAACTGCAGGGGTTGACCTTGGCTCAAAAGAGACTTATTTTTTTTATCTAAGTGATCACTTAGATAAAAGATGTGCTAAAATTCTCCTTTTAGAAGGTAGCCTTCTAATTTTATTTATTCATTACTAATTTTCTCCTACAATTCTTTTTCTCTAAATTCTTGTTCACACCAACCCTTTAGTTCCTTCAATTGTAAAAATAGCTAAACCATCACATCCATAATATTTGTTTTAATTTCTTAAACTTGCCAAACTAAATTTCTTAATTCTTGTTATTTTTTTAATTCATTTCTGGCTGTGGTATATGTAAAATGAATTGTTCTTATTCTCATGTTGCCTCAATTCAATCTATATTATGTTATTCTTGTTTAGAGTTTGAGTCTTGCGGTGCTTCACATTTGTGTTTGCCAAAGAGTCAACACTGTTTCATGTTTTCAGTCTTTGTCATAGGAATGGGAGACCTGTAGCCATCCAGATCATGTTGGAAGCCAATTGCTATCAGCTAAACCAGAGCTAAAGAATACTGCAAGTAGTAGTTCATCAACATTTGGAAAGCCACAGATGCTCCCTGCAACTCTATGGGAATATCTACACTAAAACACCTCATTATTTATTTTAAAAAGTAGTTTAACTATTTTGGCTTTCCTCCTGGAGTTCTCAAAATTATATGTTTTGGGGGTCTGATGAATTCTCTTCCTCCAATCCTTTATTACAGTACCATTTTCAGAATTTCCTGAAGGTGATAGAAATTTGTGGTTTAGCCTAGTTTTTTTCCAGACATGTTGAATGCAACCAGCATTATTTCAAAGCAGCCTGGTTATTCAGTTAAGGCTGAAGTATGTAGTCATGAAGCAGATGCTAATTCAGACACAAAGTACTGAACTTTTCCCTCTCTCTCTTTCTAGGTCATTGCCATGATGACTGAGAATGGTGGAACTTGCAGTTCAATGCGGCAGGAGGATACCTGGTAGGTGAAAGGTGACTCACCATCATCAAGCGAATGGTAGATAAAGCATAATGCAGTAAAGGCCCCTCCCCTCTTTGTTTCCAGGCTTTTATATTTTATTAAATTGTATATTTTATTTAAAAATAAACAGTTCCAAATCAATTTTCCAGGTGAGAACATTGGAAGGTGAAGTGAGCATATAGATTGCATTGCTTAGAAAGGATCAGTTAAAAGTCATTCGAATACTGACCCAGTTTGGAACTTCTCCTCTTGCAAATATTTCTGACTTGCCTTGTTTGCATCTCTATGGGAAGGAACAGAAATTTCAAACGGATCAGAACACTTGGTGTTAACTTACTTAGGGAGTCATGGATACCAAGAACCAGGATGAGACTGAGATTAACTGTTCATGTTTGAAGATAGAGAAAGCTATAGTTATTTTCTCCTGAAGATTTTGTATGCAACAAATAATATACATGCAAATTATACCCCACTGCCAGATCTCCCCATGACTCTGAGAAACATCAGTTTCATTCTAGCTTGCTAATATTTGCAGCTTTCTTGTCCTGCAGCAACATTATTGGTCTCTCTGCTACTGCTGGCAGTTTAACAAGACATGTCCCATCTTATCTTAGTATGCCACAGCTGTTGCTGCTTTGCCATAGTTCTAAGCCACTGAAAAGAGAAGTATGGAAATGAGGAGAAATGGCCTTGGTTCTGTTCTAAATTCAGGATATTTAGAACATCGATAACTGCATGGCAGGAAGCTTGGATTGTCCAACACCAGGCAATTGTCATGCCTATACAGATTCAATAGTTGGTAGAAGTACTGTAGGGATTTTCCAACCAAAAGCTTATGCTAGAGCAGTAAGGAAACATTTAGGGAATATATGTGGGATGAAAATCAAGATGGCAGTTCAGATGGCTGATTCCCTACGGTATGAGAGTGCATCCAGAGGAATGGAGACCTGCAACCGATCCAGATCCATATGGCTCCCAAACTCCATCATTGGTATGACTCCTGCATCATCCTTTGGACCTCCTCCTAAATCTACTCCTACATCCAAGTCATCCTCCTCCTCATCTTCATCCTGGCTGACAAGAGCCAACTCATTCTCATAGCAGAAGGCACTGGGAGGTGGAGGAGGTGAAGGCAGGATGGTAATCTTGCTCTCTTGCAATTCTCGAGCAGAGCAGCAAGGGGTTCCAGCCACCTCATAAGTCTTGTGGAAACGTGAGTAGTCCACCTTATAATGTTTCTTCTCCTCAAAGACAACAGGCTCAAAACGATGGCCCCAAAGGATCTCACTAGCCAAGTAGGAGCTGCGAGCCTGAGTGGTCATGGCTGTTGCTTCCACCATACCCTCAAGGATAACAACAATCTCAAAGTCCTCCCTCTCCAGCTCTTCCTTGCCCATCCCATAGAGTGGACTTTCCTCATCGATCTCATGTACAATAATAATGGGAGACACTAAGAAGATACGGTCAAGGCCGATGTCATAGCCCACGTTCAGATCTCTCTGGTCTAATGGAAGATACTCACCTTCTGCTGTCATATAGGGTTTTATAAGCTGGGCCCGAACATGAGCTTCCACAATATGGCTCCTCCTTAGATTCCCCACCCGCCACATGAGGCAGAGTTTGCCATCCCGCAGAGAGATGACAGCATGATGGCTGAAGAGTAGGGTCTGGGCCCTTTTCTTGGGACGTGCCATTTTTGCCATAATGGTGCCAATCATGAAAGAATCAATAACACAGCCTACAATGGATTGTACCACGACCACCATGATGGCTAGCGGGCATTCCTCAGTCACATATCGGAAACCATAACCAATGGTTGTCTGGGTCTCCACTGAGAAGAGGAAAGCTCCCAAGAACCCATTGACATGTTTGATGCAGAATTTTGTAGCAACAGAACCACTTCCTGCCCCTGGGACATCTAAGTCACCATGGAAGAAGGCAATGATCCAAAACAGCAGGCCAAAGAATAGCCACGATACCAAGAAGGCTGCTGAAAAGATCATGAGCATGTAGCGCCAACGAGTGTCCACGCAGGTAGTGAAGATGTCAGCCATATAACGTTGAGATTTGTTGCTTAGGTTAGCAAAATAGACATTGCACTGGCCGTTCTTTTTGACAAAACGGTTACGTCGTTTCCGTCGAGGGGCATGACCTTTCCCATTCCGGCTGTGTTCGTTAATGCTGCCAAGGGAGGAGACTTTGTGCCCATCCTCTTCAGTGGAAACAATGCTGTACCTTATGAACAGGGGGGAAAGGTGATAGTTAAAAGTTGGAGGAAGACAAGTTGTGATTTCTCAAAAGATCTTTAAGAGTGCTCATACACCCAAATCCAGTATCTCATTTTCTCAACCACCTGGATGCCTGATGCTTCTACATATGACGCTTTACAGATGTGGCATGTAAACTGTAGATTTAGTATTACTAATAAAATCGCATAGCACTGGCATTGTGCAAAAATTTAGAAGGGTGAATCACTCCAAACTCAGAATACCTGCAATTAAAATAATGTTCTATTCTGTTCAGTTTTTGATGATTATCTTTAAAAAAAAAAACTGCAGATATTATGTTTGGTATGAGAGAGAGGAAAAAGCCATTAAAACAATCCTAAAAATAGGAGTTTTAGGACTCGCCCCCATATATGCCTTTACCACATATGAGTTAGAGGTCTCTTCTCTCTGCGGTATTGTGTTTGATACAAGAGTTTAGAACAATAATCTCCACATTGTCTGAATCAAAACTCAAGTCTCTGCCTAAAGCAATGGAAAATAATGCTCTATTGGGGTGTCCACCTAGCTCTTCAAGGCATTTGATTTATGGAACTGGTATGAATATACCATTCTCCAACAAGAAAGCCTAAGTTGGTTGCCTCCAAGATTTGATCTGTAATTAGCAGGACCTCCTAGAGCAGACTAGTGTACTTCAGGTGTACTGGACTATAATTCCTACTGTCCCCAGCCAAGATTACCATTGCCATACTGGCAATGGCTGATGGAAGTTACATTCCAGCACATCTGGAAGACACAAAGTTGGGATGGATCAGGCCATATGAATATGGTTTTGTAACATTTTAGCTCAGAATTGCATAAGGCTGGAAGTTTCTATTTTCTGTTCCGTTTGCATTTGTTGATCTAATCGTGCATCTGTGACAATGTTTATACACTTCCAGAGTTCTAGACAAGTCTGTTGCTACAGCAACAAGCGTGTTTCCCAGCATCCCATATCTAAAACCTAAGGTGTAATTAGAGATCAAGAGACAACGGGTTGCCAGATACCCTGAAAGAAACTCCCTCCCCGCAAGAGCTGTGACTGGCCTTTATCTCCTTCTCCTTCAAAATTTGCCACCCTCTCTGTCTCCATTTTGCCCATAATCGAGGAGAAGAGCTGCTGTGTGATTTCATCACAGAAAGTTCTGCCTGACATCATTTGCTCATAAAATGTGGTCATAGCAACTATTATTGATATCTTAAAGTACTGTGGCAGAGCGAGAGAGTGAGTATAAGGGATTAATCGCCAAGGCTTTTTTCTTTTTTTAAAATGCCAAACATCTTAAGATCAAAATACTCCTAACCTGTTTGTTTGCTGTTTGTTTAGGGCAGAACATTTTACAAACTTGGTTGAGTTTCCAGGCAGAAGTGCTTATCATGTTGTTACAGAATTACCTGTCTATAGATCAAAGATATAATACCATAAATTTAAAATATGGAACCTGGGGCAGGCCAGGGACAAAGCCTGATTGATATATCAGCAATTCTCAGTAGTTCATGTATTGTGCTTCTATAATCCATACTATGATCTGTTTGGTTTTGACAGTGTATTGCAGCCTGTATTTATTCAGTACACTATGTTTAAACAAACTATAGCTTAGTGAGATGTGAGCACTTGATCACACTTTCTTTTTTCGATGCTGTGTCCCTTGTTGGCAGGTTTACAGACTATTCTTGCTGAGACATAAGTCCTGCAAAGTTGAACAAGATTCATTCCTAGATAAACTTAATTTGGATAAACTTCCATGTGAGATCTAGCATTTTGGGAGGTGTTTTGCACAGAAGTGGGGAAGGTGGTTGGGTATATCCACTGGTGCTGATTTCCCTGCCACCCCATGTTTTACTGTTAGCTTGGACTTTTCTTTAGGGTTTCTGCTTTCTAGATTCAACTATGGGGAGCCACATCCATTCAAACAGAAGTCTGATATATGATTAACTTTGCTGAGTATCTTAATGGCCACAGGCCTTTAATGTTGAAACTAAAGAACTCAAACATCTTCCTTATGAAAAAACGCTTAAAGGTTTAGGACTGTTAAGCTTAGAAAAAGGTTAACAGAAGGAGGACATGATTGAGATGTATGAAATTATGGAGGGCATGGAGAAAGTAGACAAAATAAAGACTTGCTCTCACTCTCAAAACACTTAAAACAGGGTCATTCAATGAAGTTAATTGGAAGGAGATTTAGAACAGACAAAAGAAAGTACATCTTTACACTGTGCACTTGTGTAGTAAAGTGCATCTTTATACTTTAACTTGTGTTGAATTAGTTACCACATGATGTGGTGATGGCCACTAACTTGGATATATTAAAAGAAGATTGGATAAATTCATAGAAGATGGATCTACTGATGGATCTACTCATTGTCTTTTGGAGTGGGGCAGATATGACAAATAATAATAATAATAATATGCACTAAGTGTACAACTCCAGTGAAAACATTCCTAGCAAAAGAAATTGTTTAAATACAGCCATTGAGGTAGAGAGAGAATCCAGCATAGAATGGTCAGAATATTATAGTTAAACCAAATTCAGATATATCCCCTATACTGATTGCAGATAATCCCCATGAAACAATGGGATTATTAAAATACAAACCAACAAGCCAAGCTCAATTAGCCCTAAACCTCTGCAACAGGAAATTCACTGGCTTTGGTTACACAACATATATAACCAGGTCAGGTGAAGATCTAGCAGTGGCATTTGCAAAACATGCAAATCTTCATTAGATTTTTATGGTTTAGGGTGGTATAAGCAAACCCAGCCCATTTGATTAGTGAATGGTTCAATGTATTGTGCAAACTCAGAAAATGGGTTGGTTATTTAACAAAGTTAAGCATGTTGTCAAATCCAACCTTCCCCTAAATGCTTCCTGGAACCATTTCCTAAATTGATTTGATCATCATTTGCTTGGTCAAATGTTAAAAGGTATTCATACCCAAATTTTACAGCTACTCAAAGTTTCTGGAGCTCCCTACCAAAGGCAACGTGCTGTGAGAGGCTGTGGGAAAGCAGGAGATAAGGCACTTGAGGGTTCATCCCAGAAGAGGCAGCTCAAGGCCAGATGTGAGAGACATGGGAAGAAGTGTTTCACAGAAACTCCACTTTAATTAACTGACTATAACTGAAGATTTATTCTTATCTTTTCAAAATTCTGTACTACCCCAGAGACATTAAATATGCCTTCCTGAAATCCATGTTGTTGTTTCTTCCTTGGTCTTACCAGCTAGGCTTGACAACAACCGTGAGCCTTCAAATACCTCATCCCCCACCTTCCCACAACCTCTCACCACCTGTCCAGCTCCATCTTCACTGCCATTTTATTGAGGGGCAAAAGCATTTTTATTCATATAGATCTTTGTCTTTGTCTTTTAATTTTATTCATTTATGCAATTTCTATAGCCCCCATCTCAATCCAAGTGTCTCCAATATGATGTGCTTGACAAGGAAAGTCTTTAAGATGTGAGGACCACTTATTTTTTAATTGTTTTGCATCAACATTTCAGTAATAAATTTGCATATTATCTTATATTAGTGCTGTTAGCCACCCTAGAGGTATTTACAACAACAACAACAGCAACAACAGTGTGTGTGTGCATGTGTGTTCATAATAAATAATAAATAAATGGCGCTTTGGGTTGAAGTCCTAAATACAGGGTTCCCTGGCATACAATTCAAGCTGCTGAAACTTACACTGTAAGTTCCATGACTGTGCCTCAGCATATCTTGTGTAGACATTTCAAATACCTTATTGGGCAGCGGGGATGGGGAGCCATACAGCCAACAGAAAATTAAGGTGGCAACAGAGCAATAAAAACTGGATGGGAAACGTTACTCACCTGTTTACCCGGATGCTGCCCATGACTTGTTTTATCATGAGGTACTTCTTCTTATAAAGCTGAATGGCATCCGATGTTGTATATGATTGGAAGTATCACACACAGGACACACAAATGACGTCTCAGGTCTATAAAAGCTGCAGTTCCTTTCATTAGGGGATAGATACCTAGATTAGAAACAAAAAATGCAGAAGAAAAGTCACAGCAGCTAAAAAAAAACCCCTAATCAATAAAATTCCAGTTGTATTGTTGTCTCTATTAATATTTCATCTTTCCTCTTGCATGGAATTCAGGAAGGAATATATAGGCTGGGCTCCTACAACTTGTTAAGCCCTAAACTTGGATAATCAAAACACATCTGCAGTGTCACATAACATGCAATGCCAAAGCAAATTATCCATGTTATGAATTTAATGTGATGGCTTAGCTCACACAATGTGCTATGCCGATGAGCGGACACTGGGAGACAAGCCACTGACCCCATTTTCACATATGAGACCATTGTGGCAAGCTAGCCATTGAGTACATCAGCCAGAGGATCTACTGGGTTGGACTTCAGAGGCAACTCTGAAAGCACAAGTTTCAGAGGTGGACTCAAAGGACTACTTAGCCAAAAGAACAAGCAGGAACAGGTGATAAGGGAAGCATGGCAAGTGAGCAGCTGTATACAGTATAACAACTCCTGCAATATTGTATGTGTGTGTGCGCGCTACTCCCTCCCATTTAACACTTTGGTAGGTAGGAACATTGCCAACAAAGACCATGTTGAATAGGCTGTTGAAGAAGGTGGGAACTTCAGCAGGGACTGCTTACCTGGGCAACATACATGCCTAGCTAATCATCATCATCATCATCATCATCATCATCATCATCTTCCTGCTTCCAGGCTTCTCTTTAATGCACTGAATGTCAGGTGGGGATGAAGGGGAGAGGAGAGGGAGGCAAGGAATCCAGGGTGCTAAGAAACCAAGTCAGTGGTGGCAAAATAAATAGTATGGGAGGAAACAGCTAGGGCAGGAAAGCCCAGATTCACCTCAGATCTTGAAAACCATTTTGTCCCAGCAGTCTCCTATCCAAGCATTGATCAGATTTAGCTTCAGAGATGGTTGCATCTTGTGCTTCCTCAGTATACCACTTGGACCTTTAGGCATTTTGACTGCTGAGGCTTAAAAATAGTTTGGTTTCAACTGCTTCGCAATGCAAATGTAATTTCTTAAATGGCCGGGGATGGCATCTTGCGTGTGTGTCACCATGGTCTATATAAGGATTCTAGCTTGCATAGAATAGGGTGAGCAAACTTGGGGTGAAACAAGGCTTTTATTGTACTTATTGCATACTGGCCAAAATGGGCCTAAAATGACCCCTATTGTCCTTTCTATTAGCAGGGAATGTGGCATGAATATGCTGGTAACTTACAATATATTTTATCTTGTTATATGAAACTTCACTTGGCCACAGACACCAGTATCTATGGCCTCATCCAATGATGACTATGGAATATAAAAGACTATGACTTGGAATGTAAGTGAAGTAAATGGTAAAATGAATTAATGAAATGAATTAATGGAATTAATGAAAGAAAAAATATATATGAATGAAGCTAATCTGATCTTATGGAATGGAATGCATAAATACATGTAGAGAACTGAAGGTGATGATTTAATTATGAATGAAAGAGCTCAAATGTGTGTCAGCATGTATGAATTGGTGTCATCTAGATTCTTGTGGATACCTAGGCTATGTATATAAAAGTAGGAATATATAAACTGATGATAGTTGCATGGTATGATCCAGTGACAGTGATAATGGAAGAACTGATAATGAGTTTTAGGGAAAACCTGTGCAATATTTTGAATGAATGTGGTCAAGCGGAGTGGGGGAAATATATTCTGCTAGGTGACATGAAGGGATAGATGGAAGTGAGATGAGAGCGTGCAAAAAATGATTTGGCCATTCAGAGATTGTTCGTGATTGTTGGCGAATGGAGACTATTTCATTGGCATCTGCTTATAATACAGTGGTACCTCAGTTCACAAATGCTTCTGTTCACGAACAATTCGGTTCGCGACCAGCACCGTTCGCAAAATTTTGCTTCCATTCACGAACTCCGCATCGGGTGACGAACAGGATCCGCGGCCCTTTTCCCTGCTGGGACATGTGGTCGTGGCGTCCTGTCGGGAGGGGGAACCTACC